CTGAAAGCCTGGGTTGGGTGTTCCCAGTCTTCTGTTTCATTACCTGTAATTGGGGACAATAATAGAAATCTCTTGCAAATATGTCCATCTGTCACAGCAATTATACTGTAGTTGCTGGGAATGGGGAAGGTTGGAGAAGCTGAGCTATTAGCTGTATTTCTCCAGTTTTAAATGTTAGTAAATGAGCACACATGTCTCAGTTAGAATCCAGACATAAGATTTAGCTTAGTAGCCATCCAAGGACTCCATGGAGATCTTGCCGTAAAGCTATGACATTTTGCCAGGCGGTGGTGACACACAACTTTAACCCCAGTACTTGGGAGGCAGAGTCAGACAGAGCTCTGTGAGTTCAAGGTCAGTTTGGTCTACAAGAGAAAGGAGCTACACAGAGAAACCCTGTCTGGAAAAACCAAATAAATAAACAAAAGTAAAAAGCTATGACACTTGGTGTGTGTATTTGGGAGGGGGTGGCTGTGCATCTGTTTGCTTGTCCTCGTCAGTCAGGAAGGCCCGTGTGTCACTGTACTTCTCTGCCATCAGCGCTCAAACCCGTGGACCCTCCTCAGCCAATTGCTTCCGCTCTACTCCCGGGAGCTTGTTTTACAGATGTTGGCGGGTGGTGTGCTGCGCTAACGGCATTTGCCTTTCACAGCTTGTCAGTGTTCCTTGCTTGTGGGTCACCCTCTGCCCTCCCTCGCAGAGTCCAAACACACATGACTTTTCTGGTTTGGGCTTTGCAGACGTTTGAGGCCTCCTCCCCCACTTTGGGGAGCTCTGCGGCTTGTTTGGTGCTGTGGTTCTTCTTGACGTCTCCAGCAGCCCCGCAGTTTGATGTTTCATGGTTCCCTCTCCATGCAGTGCATCTCAAGTGACATCGACAATCCTTAGCCCCTAGCACTCCACCATGACCTGGCTTTCATCCCGAGAAAACGCGGAAACCAATCTGGGAGGGCAATGCTTTGAAGCGCTAATCACGCCTCACCATGATCCTACACGAGACTGGCAAAGCCCACTGCCTGATTTTCCGTTTGGAGAGATCGGGGTAAGCAGGGCCAGAGGACAGAGGCTGACTGAAGGGTTCGGGTTGGGCCTGTCTCTGGGAGTGAGGCCATTTGACCGAGGGCCAGCTGCCTCACCAATTCCCTTCTGCACAGCCCCACGGGCTCATAGCTGTATTTACACATCAGCTTTCTTCCCCCAGAGCTACAATGGTGCTACTTCTCTAGTTGATTCGTTTTCTCTAATTCTGGGGCAGACTAAGAACTTTAGCCTGGCTCTAAGAGTAATGGTGAAAGAGTTAGTTGAAAGACCCATTCTGGTTGGGCATGGAGATTCATCTTAATCCCAGCTACTCAGGGGCAGGAGGATCTAGATTTGGAGAGCAGCCTGGGTAACATCACAAAATAACCCCATCTCAAAATAGAAACAAAGCAAAAATATAAAATCCTTGCTGGTCTTGACACCCAACTTCCTAATGGTCGCTTTCAGATCCAACTTCTTCAGCTTGGGTATAAAGGAGGCACAAATGGATTCTTTTTTTGTCCCCACTCTAGATCCATTGGTATCCTTCCTCAGTCACCTAATCCCGACATTGTAAGGATGAATAATGTATATGCTTTTGGTTCCAGTGCTAGGGATCAAATCTCGAACCACATGCAAGCTCTGTCACTGAGAGACATAACCCTCCCCTTCCTCCCATTTTTACTTTTTCTTTTGAGGGGGTAGAGGCTTTCTAGATTACCTAGGCCAGCCTTTAACTTATTCTGTATCCCAGGCAGTCTTAGAACCTATGATCTTCCCACCTTGCTCTCCAGATTAGCTGGAATTACAGTTCTGCTCCTCTAGGCCCATATACATCCATATATTTATATTTATATCTGTATCTGTATCTATACCTATACCTATATCTATATCTATATAAAATGTCCTTGATAGAGCCAACTATAAAACCCTATAAAACATAAAATTTTATTCTTTTCCTATAAAACAAAAAAACATATTCTTTGGGACATATCCAGTAGCCCCAAGAATACAGTAAGTCTACCTTCTAAATGCTTTTGGATCAGATTTTTTTTTTAGGGCTTGTGTATGATGGCACATGTGTCTAATCCCAGATCTTGGGAGGGAGGCAGAAGCAAGTGGTTCTCTGTGAATTCAAGGCCAACTTTGTCTACATAGCGAGTTTCAGGATGGCCAGGGCTGCATAGAGAGACCCTGTCTCAAAAAACAATACAAAACAAAACAAAAAACATGTTTTTAGGGTCACTTGGGGGCACACACCTTTAATCACAGCACTGAGGAAGTAGAGGCAGCAGAATCTTTGTGAGTTCAAAGCCAGCCTGGCCTTCATGGTGAGTTCCAGGCTAGCCGAGGCTGCTTAATGAGGGACTATCTCAGTTCACAGCGCTGGGGAATGACTCTGTGGGTAAAGTGACAAGCGTGAAGACCTAAGTGAGGGCCTTCAGCACCCACATAAAGCACACTTCAGGGGCTCAGCCCCTGAACTACATCCGTAGTCTCGCTTGGGAAAACTGAATACAGTTTCACTGTTGCCTTAATGCCAGAATTATTCTAACTCCAGGCAGAAGAAAACGGTTTCCCAGTCAGGGATCAGTCACATAACATGTGGCTTTGTCCTCCACTCTGGTGTTTGTTTGTTTGTTTGTTTTTAAGCAGGGCATCATCGCTGTGCAGCTGGCTGACTTGTTTGTAGCCCAGGCTCACCTATTTTAGATCCTTTGGCTTCATTCAGAGTTCTGAATTTAGAGTGCTGGGATTACACGTACCACCATGCCCAGCCATAGAAAAGAAATCCAGAGGTTGTGATTGCTATTTGTAGACTCCACAAACTTGTTCTGCAGGTAGGACCTGGGGACTCAGAACCCTTTGTGATTCCTGTCCCAGTGGGAGCTGGACACATCCTCTTTCATGGAAGCAATCACATATGAGTTTAGATACTGCTGGAAGGGACTTGGAGGTGTATTCAAAGGCCCAAATGCATGAATTGCTCAACAGGAAGTCCTGGTTGGGACTCATCCTGTTCAGCTCTCTTTGGATGATGGGAAAGTTCAAAGCAGCCTTTTGCTTGTGAGAGTAGGAGGCAGAAAGGTGATTACAGAAAAATTGAGACAAACATTACCCTTGGAAACTTTACCTCACCAAAACCGAGATCCCTAAATTCAAATCCCTCACAGAGGAACAGTCCTGAAGCCGTTGATGTGCCCCCCCCCCACATGAGAGCTAAGCTGAGCCCAGAATACATCTACAAAGGCAAGAAACTCAATGTGTTTTCCCCTATATCCAGCCCTGCTGCTGGTCGTGACGGTCACCTTTAGCCTAGACTCCAACGTGAAGCACAGAGCAACCCCAACTTCTAGAAGCTGCTGATGGGCAGAGAGAGGGGGAGAGTGCGAGAGGAGTGGGGAACAGGGGCAGGAGAGCCAGGAAGGCCCTGGAGAAGTGAGCTGGAGGCTGCAGGCTACCAAAGCCAGTTCTAGAGAACCTAGAGAGTTGCAGGCCGGCAGCTAGCCGTGGTCTCTGAGGCCCCACACTCAGGCTCCTTGTCTGAGGAGAGACATGGAAGCGGGCAGTGGAGAATGAGAGGGAGCAGGTTGTAACACTGGAGAAGGCCTGGAGAGAGACTGTGCTGTGCTCACCCGGCCCTGCCCACCTCTGTCTTGCTTCAGGCTCTGAAAGCCCAGAAGGAGATAGGAGCTTGGAGGCTGGGCAGAGGAAGAAGTTGGAACATTTGAAAAGGGTAGAAGGGAAAGGCGGGAGGGTGTGTGTTGCTCCTTGGCTGCAGTTCTGGCTTTAGGGCCTGGCCACGGTGAGGAGGAGAGACCTAGATTCTAGCACGGGAAGGGACAGGCATCCCACAGACCTAGAAGGTTGTGAACCTGCACCTGGGACTCAGGACCTTACGTGACATGCAACTGTCTTGGTATTTAGACAGCAGTGACAATAAGAAGTCCCATAAGATGATTGTGGAACGTCAGAAAGCTGTTCTTTCTCAGCAAGCTGTGTCGGAAAGGCTCGTATCCTGGTCCATGAAGACTCCTTGCCTAGAATCACAGTGTTGGTTGTTAGATGTGCTCCTTTTTTGTCCTACAAATCTTCCCTACAGCTCACTCCCCCTAAGTTTTCACAGGCGTGTTTGACACACAGTAATACACGCATGAAGCTGAGGCTTCGACGGCATTGTGATAGAATCAAGTCTTTCCCACACACAAAATAAACTAGAGCATTGAGAGCCCAGTGGTTCTTAAACTTTAGTGTATGTTGGAATCACTGGGGTTTGTTCATACTCAAGTTGCTGGGCCTCTGGGAGTTTCTGAGTCGATAGCTGGGGTGTGGGGCTCAGGGCTGCCTTTCTAGCCTGGTGTGGTGGTACACACCTTGTAGCATCAGTACTTGGGAGGCTGAAGCTAGAGAATCCAAAGTTTTATTCCAGCCTGGGCTACATACTGATAACCTGTCCCCATACCCCTAAAAAACACAATTTTCCAATAAAGTCCCTGGATGAGCTATCATTGCAGCGGTCTCACTGAAGAAAACACATTTCTTTACCAAACAACCCGTCCATGGAGGCTGACTTGACTTCTGTTCTGAATGCTGTTGACAATGTGCACAGTGGCCTCTGGAGGGTGAGACTGACTCATTGGTGATCATGGCCCGTATTATCTCCAGCCGCTGGCTAAAGCAGGGGGACAGTTCAGACCGAAAGCACCAGATCACAGGAAATTCACATGAAACACCACTGGGTAGGACACCTGTAAACCAGCCAGCATTCCTGTCATCCACCTGCATCCTGCTCTGCTCTGCTCCAGTGTCAGACCACGCCCAGAGCAAACAAAGGAGCCTACCATCACAGAGCCATGAGGGTCACAGGCCAGCAGGAGAATGGAAATAAACTCAATGAAATGAGGTTCTGGTGCTGATGATTAAAAAAATGGCATCGTATTATCTTAGCTTTATAAATACCCGTGCTATCTGCAATTATGACAGAGCAGGAATCTGAACTTCTTTTACCTCCAAAGAGAGTGGTGGCTTCTTTACGCCCAAGCCGTTTCACCAGGAATCTCTCTGTCTCTTTGTCTCTGTGTGTGTCTCTCTCCCTTCCCCTCCCTCTTTCCCCATCTCCTCTCCTCTCTCCCTCTCTTCTTTGTAGACAGGAACTTATGTATCCCAGACTCTGGATTTCTCCTGCCTCCACCTCCCACGTTCTGGGATTATACGTCTGTGAGCCTCCATCAGCCACTCTACAAACGTGTCCTGTGAGTTAGACCTTCATGTGACTATTTCACACAGGTTAGTGATTTGGATGATATGGCATTAGAATAAAAGGCTGCCATATATGGTAGGGTAAGTATGGATTTTAAATGTGGGAGGCTGACGAGGTGGGAACAAGGTGAGATTTTAGCGTGCGGATTGACAATCCTCTTAACTTCTCAGAGTTTTTATCTTTACACTTTCCATATATAATCTTTTCATGGATTTTAGTTGATAAGTATCAATAGCCGATACACAGAGTCCAGGGAGTCTGATTGGGTGGTTTGGACAAACAGTAGTTTCAAGGATCTTTTCCTATGGTGTCTCTTTTATGGGGTCATAGAGTTGTTTTTGATATCGTACATTCCCTAAATGGTTACTTTATCCTTGATGTTTCTTCTAATTAGAACAAGATGATGGTTTGTTTTTTACTCTTCATCCTAAGAATCTCTGAGTGTGTGTGTGTGTGTGTGTGTGTGTGTGTGTGTTTTCCATTCTGCTCCATCTACCATTCAAGATGATTGCACTGATACAGGCAATTTAGATGGAATTAATTTAAGTAAAATTTATTTAAATTTATATTACCACTCAGAAAGGGAGGGGGGAACATAATAAGTTTGACTTCAGCTTCGTTTCTCTTCTTTAATTTAGCCATCTTATTGCTCTCCACTCACAAATAAACCTAGATTCAGTTTTAGAAGACCTGCACTATTCATTTCAAGCAGTGATTTGCTCAGATAATTTATTAAATTATTTCTGCTGTTTAATCAGGAAAATGAAGCAGTTCAAATAAATAGTTGTGAGTTCACTGAGAGATTTAATCACTTCTGAATCAACATCTTTTTATTTTATTTGGCATATTTTATGACTACACTAATATATCAAGCAATACACAGGAAAATGGTGACATGTAAATGTCTCATTTGATTAAAGCAAAACATACAGAAAAAAGTTAAGGGTGCTCAAATACATTGCTATTAATAGACCTCTAGACTGCTCTTTCACCCCTGCCCCCCCCCCCCGACTCCTTGGCACCGGCCACTGCATTGCGTCCTCATGTTTGCGATCATTCCTTTGCAGAAACTAACATAGGACACGAGAGGTATGCTGCTGTAGAATCTAGAAGAAACTAAGAGTTCAGATTTGTTGTTGTTTAGTATGCTTGTAGATGATAAGCTGGGTTTGTTTAGAAGCTTGGAACTAGGTCAGTAAACATACGGGAATACGGCTAAGTGATAATATGATATGCCATCTCCAAGGGGAGCTGAGTCTCTGCAAGTCATCTTACACGTGGACTATTGTGCTGTCTTACTATACATTTCTGTGTGTGTTCTGCCTCTAAAATCATTGTTTATCTTTAAAAGATATCCTCTCTGTGTGCTACTTTTCACATTACACACCCCATGATGCTTCAGAAGAGATGTCTTTGGACTACACTGAGTCCAATGCAGAGCGGCTCCATTCTTGGAAGCTTGAAGCTCACTGCCCTAAGCTGTCAGATGTGTCATTGCCACACAGTGATCGGACTTGAGAAGTTTCTCACATTTACAAACCGTCTCTCAAGGGGGGTTAATATGTGTTGTCTCTAACAACAGTTAGCATTGCGTGTTTGTTATGTTTGATTCAGGACAGTTTGCTCAATGATCCCATGCAGCCAATAATCTTCAGTAAGGCAGAAACCAGGGCATGGAAAAGTTAGGTAACTTTTCAGTGATAGTTGATAGAGCTGATATGTAGTCCTGTGTGGTCTGCCTCAGGATCCCATATGTATGTGGTGTGTGTGTGTGTGTGTGTGTGTGTTTTCTGTGTGTGTGCACGCAGTTGCCCAGAGACCAAGAGAGGGTGTCAGATCCTCTGGAGCTGGATTTACAGTCATTGCGAGCTTCTGACATCGCTGCTAGCAACTGTTTTAGGCGGGATAAAGGACCTTTCCTTAGACCTAGACTAATGCAGATATTCAACTATAGAATGTTCTAGGTTCCCCATCACAGGAAAGCCAGAATCATACAGAGAAGAGCCACAGAACTGTCAAGGACCTGGAACAAGAAAATGAGAACTTTACCCCTTCAGGTCCTCTGTCTGAGTCTGAGTCAGGGTCAGCAAAAGGTGGAAGAATTTCTAATGGATTCGAAGAGATGGGGTTTTTCGGCTATTGTGCAGCTGTCTGGATGTGGGCGGGTGTCAATATTTCTGGTCTTCAGGCTCCCCATCTGTGAGATGGAATTTGAGTTTCAGAGAATAATCTGCACATTGAGACCGAGAGGTTGACAGTGAGGAGCTGTTTGATTCTGAAACCAGACCACTCAATGAGCTTGTATCTCATTTCTCCCTTGAGCCTTGTGGAATACGACCTTGTCATCATGTCCGTTCCTCACCTGAGTTAAAAATCCCTACTTCACACACCTATGAGATAGATAGATACCATAAATTCACAGGATATTGTAGAACAGAGCCCAGCAGTTAGTAAGTGCTTGGCAATGTTAGCTTTTATTGTTTCACTTTGTTTTGTTTTGATTTTTGAGACAGGATCTTCCTTATAGGCCAAGGTGGCCTCAAACTTGTGATCCTTCTGCCTCAGTCTCCTGAGTGTTGAGACTACAAGTATGTGCCACCAGGTTTGGCTAAATGTTAGCTTCTGGTATCTCTCTATGTATAATTCCAACGTTCAGTTTCACACACAGAATATTTAGAGCTGCCAATGCACCTTGGGTCCTAGTTCTTATTCTTTCAGAATTCCAGGGCTGGAGAGATGGCTCAGTGGTTCAGAGTGCTCATTCTTGTAGAGGGCCTGACTTTGATTCCCAACGCCCAGGTGATGGCTCTTAAACACCTGTAATCCAGTCTGGGAGATCTGATGCCTTCTTCTGGCCTTTGTGAAAACTAGGCACACATGTGGTATACATGTATACATTCAAGCTAAGTAGCTGTGCACATAAATAAATAAGTTTTTAAAAGGTCAATTTTTTGCTTTGTTTTTAGAGTTGGGAGAGTATCCAGTGAATACTGTGACCCACACTAAGTTTATTGCTCAAAGTTCTTACATATCCCAATATAAGTGGGGAGGGTAGTTGGGTTTTTTTTGTTTGTTTTTTGGTTTTTTTGTAACTCCATTTTGTTCCTGTTCTTGTCCAAGGAGCCTTTCAATTTTTGTGTAACAACAGCATTTACGCCAAGATTAGAACAACCCATCCTTCAGGGAAGCTTCATAAGCTGTAAAGTAAACAATTCAAAATAGTTTCAGGAACTCCTTGAAACCAACCAGATTCACTATGCCCTTTTTTTTTCTCCAAAAGTAAACAAGGCAAGTGGCTGAGAGTCACTCTGAGAGAGGCCAAGCAGCAAGGAGGGTTCTAAGACCAGCCCTGCTGCCTGGGAGAAGCAGAAACCAACCGAGGCACCGGGAAGAGGCACGCTCCGAACCTGTTGAGCTACCTGCTGGCTGTACAGTGTGCTCCAGGTGCCCAGCTTTGAGAGCAAGCGGTCAGCCATGCTGAGTGGGCTTTGGTGATGCAGCTGTCTCTGGGTCATCTTTGTTCCTCTAAGAACCCCTCACTCTCTTGTAAGTGACCACAATAAAACTCATTGCTCACAAAGTTGGACTTCCGTGATGTCTGTGCTTTGGTCTGTTGTGGACTCACTGGACTGTGTAGTAGCTTCCCAAGGAAACTTACAACAAATGCCCAGGGATTCAAGCAGGTAGAGGCAAGAGTCAGGCAGGACAAGCAAAGAAGAAAGAGGGGTAGGGCTGAGCAGGCTAGTACAGTTGTGTGTCAGGAACCACTTAGAGGGTAACATGTAAAGGTGTGTCTCCTTTATGCAAAGCCATTGCTGCTAAAATCCCAGGCAGCTGGGAGTGTCCCTCCCTCGGCTCTGCCCCACCCTTCACTCTCTTGAATTCTGTCTCCACTACTCTCCAGTGCTAGCAACACTGTCCCCCATCTGTAGGCCATTGTGCCAAGGGAGGTGTCCTGAGACCACTGCAGGAAGTTCCTGTCTCTGCCTGGCTTCCACCAGTGCCTAATGAATACAAGGCATTATCACAGCTAGTATGAGAGTCAAAGTTACATTTTAAGTTTTAATCACTATGCTAAGAGATCATGAAACAAAAATGCCTCTGACCTGCAAGCCCCTTGCCCAAGGAGAGATAGTTTCTGAAATGATGGAGGCTATTGTTTATGGGAGATAACAAGCCACATGTTTCCATCCCCCTAAACAAGTTTGTTTGACCCATCTGCAGCAGATGTGCTTGATTGCATGTGTGTGTGTGGGTTCACGGGTAGGACATATATCAGAATGTATTCTTGTCCCAAATTGGACCTGATGGGAAATACTTTAAGCTGTTGTAAACTGCGATTTCAGGGCCATTTCCTGGGAACCGGGATATGGACCTAGCCAGAGTCCACCTGTGGAAGTGGTCTTATTCTCAACCAGTGGGATTAACACTAGACTCTTTTTGTAAAGGCTGCATGAGAGTTAAAAAAATCCTAAACCTTTTTTATAAGGTACAAAAGTAGGGGCATTATGGGCTAAGAATTGTAATTTAAGAGGCGGGAGAGGTGGCTCATGGGTAAGAGCTCCGACCAGTCTTCCAAATAACCCAGGTTTAATTTCCCCGCACCCACATGGTGGCCCACAACTGTCTGTAACTCCAGATCTAATGCCCTCTCTGGACTCCATGGGTAGGCAAGCAAGTGGTACAGAGACACTCGTGTAGGCAAGATACCTGTACACATAAAACTGTTAACAACTAAGTTGTAACATACTCTTTAGTTTAGAATGTATGCTTAAAATGATTTTTTTCTTTTTTCTTTTTTCTTTTTTTTTTCCTTTGGAGACAGGGTCTTACTAAGTAGCCCCATCTGGCCTGGAACTCACTCTGTAGGCCAGGTTGCCTTTGAACTCGACGAGCAAACACTACCACACTGGGCTTGTATACGTTCAAGGCCTTGAACTTGTTGTATAGTCTTGCCTTTGAACTCAAAATCCTCCTGCCTTAGCCTATCAAGTCCTGGAGTCACAGGTGTGACTAAGCCTGGTCTGACTTTGTGATTCTTCAGTTTCATGCCAGCTTTTGGGGAGGGGTAGGAAATGGTTTATTTCAGCTTACAAGCCTAAGGTCTCATTCCCATCACTGCAGGAAATCAGAACAGAAACTCAAGTGGAGACCTGGATGCAGAGGCTGACTGATCCAGAGGCCACAGAGGAGTGCTGCTGACTGACATGCTCCCCATGGTTTGCTCAGGGTGTTTCCCCCCATCCTTTTTGCCAGCAAATTGCTTTTCTATTCATTTTACATACCAACCACAGTTCCCCCCCTCTTGATCCCCCCTCCCCTCTCCCCCCATCCCCTATCCACTCCTCAGAGAGGGTAAGGCCTCCCATGGGAGTCTACTAAGCCTTGCATATAGGGTTGAGGCAGGACCAAGTCCCTCCCATTTGCATCAAAGCTGAACAAGATAACCCACCATAGAGAGTGGGCTTCAAAAAGTCAGTTCCTGCGTCAGGCATAAATCCTGGTCTTGCAAACAGACCAAGCCACATAACTATCACACACATTCAGAAGGCCTACTTCAGTCCCATGCAGGCTCTCCAGTTGTCAATCCAGAGTTCATGAGCTCCCACTAGCTCAGGTCAGCTGTCTCTGTGCGTCTCCCCATCATGATGTGCTGTAGAATATTACTTTAAGGTTGTTACATTTGTTTATGATCTGGGACATTTGCTTAATGTTGTAAAGATGTGTTGCTTTAGTCTATGCTGTATTTGTAAAGCAATACAAATTGCTCAACTGTGGCTCTGTGATTCTTTGCCTGTCTAAAACACCTGGTGGTCTAATAAAGAGCCTGATGGTCAATAGCAAGGCAGGAGAAAGGACAGGCGGGGCTGGCAGAATAAATAGGAGAAATCTGGGGAGAAAGAGAACAAGGAGAGGAGAACACCAGAGGTCAGCCACCCAGGCCGACCCAGCCAGCCAGCCAGCTGTGGAATAAGAGCAAAAGTAAGATATATAGAAGTAAGAAAAGGAAAAAGCCTGGAGGCAAAAGGAAAATGGGGATAATATACATTAAGAAAAGCTGGCAAGAAACAAGCTAAGCTAAGGCTGTACATTTATAAGAATAAGACTCTGTGTGTGATTTATTTGGAGCTGGGTGATGCCCCCCCCCCAGAACCAAAGAGTAAAGAATATAGAAACCAACAACAACATTTTGGTGTTCCAACATAGGGATAGAATAAAAAACAATGATCTTGAGACCCCTTGCTCATATAATCCCTCCTCCCTCTCTTCGACTGGACCCCAGGAGCTCAGCCCAGTGATTGGCTGTAGATCTCCACAACTGCTCCCATCAGTTACTGGATGAAGGTTCTGTGATGACAATCAGGGTAGTCACCAATCTGATTACAGAAGGTTGGTTCAGGTACCCTCTCCACTATTCCTAGGACTCTTAGCTGGGGTCATCCTTGTGGATTTTCCCTAGTGCCATGTTTCTTCTTAACCCAATAATGGTTCCCTCTATCAAGATGTCTCTTTCATTGCTCTCCCTCTCCATTTCTCCCCCAACTCAGCTATCCCATGCTCTCATGTTCTTATCCTCCATCCTCTCCCCTGCCTCCACCCCCAGTTTACCCAGGAGATCTCATCTATTTCCCCTTCATATGGCAATCCATGTGTGTCCCTCTTAGGGTCCTCCTTGTCACCTAGGTTCTCTGGGGCTGTAGATTATGGTCTGGCTATCCTTTGCTTTACATCTAGTATCCACTTATGAGTGAGTGCATACTGTATTTGTCTTTCTAAGTCTGAGTTACCTCACTCAATATGATTCAATATGATTTTTTTCTAGTTCCATCCATTTGCCTGAAAAATTCTGATAACATTTTTTATAGTTGAATAGTACTCCATTGTGCAAATGAACCACGTTTTCTTTGCCCATTCTTTGGTTGGGGACGTCTAAGTTGTTTCCAGGTTCTGGATATTAAAAATAATGCTGCTATGAACATAGTTGAGCAAATGTCCTTGTGGTATGATTCCTGTCAATGCTTTTTAGAGGGGAGGGGACCTGGGGACTGGAAGGGGTCATGCTAAGACATGTGTCCTTGTTCACAGGGCTAATCCAGGATTCTGAGGTGAATTTTTCAGTAGATCACAGAGAAGGTCCCTTCCACAGTACTTACTCCATTGCAGAGGTCCTAGAATGTGAAGACAAGTGATGGAGCGGCATGGTGTTAGGCAGAGTCTGGGTCAGGACCTACAAGGTCAGATCCCATCTTCTCCACCTACAGCATCTGGTCTTGGGAAGCTGTGTCACCATGAAGTCATGTGGACACGCTGACAGTGTCCTGCTCTGCCAGAGGGGAACTGGTCTTATTGAAGTCTGTATCTGGAAACATTTATGGTTTTTGGTGCTCAATAATTGCTAACCATTATTTCTGAAAGGCACGCTGTGGGAATTTACTATGGTTTTAGTTCTAGCTTTGCAAGGTTTGGAGTATTGGGAATGTCTGTATCTTGTATTCTTCTTAAGGTCCTTCCATTCTTAAAACTCTGAGAAATCAGAATTCGGTTTCTGACCCAACCCTCTGCCCCTCAGCCCAAAGGCATGATCCTGTCACGATGAAGCTGGAGGTCTGGGCAGGGTCCATCCTCAGAAATATTCCCCTGTTCAACCCAGTGTCTGGAAAAGAAGCATTTGTAAACAATGAACAATACTGTCTGTAGAGTTTTGGCATGGAAGTGGACCTTGTAAAACATTTTCTTTCGGAAATGATGGCAATGAAAGGGTATGGTTACTGCCCCTCCCCAGCCACAATTAAAGTTATTAATGAATCAAGATAGCAGAGAAGGTTAGGGAGGAGGACTGTCTCAAAACGAAATATAAGCAAAGACTAACACAAATAACAGAAATCTGAATTCATAGGTACCATCACTAGGATGACATCCCCACTGATAACCGTGACACTGTGTGTGTGTGGGGGGGGATATCACAGGTACCATCACTAGGATGACATCCCCACTGATAACCGTGACACTGTGTGTGTGTGTGTGTGTGGGATATCACAGGTACAATCACTAGGGTGAAGTCCCCACTGATAACCGTGACACTGTGGGGGTGAGATATCAAAAGGGGACTTCCACTGTGGCTTGGTGGTGTATGACTGTGATCTCAGCTCTGGGAGGCAGAGGAAGGGGAATGTTGAATTCAAGGCCAAGATGGGCTATACAGAGCTCCTGTTTCAAAAAAAAAAGTCTACACTGTAATGATTATGTAGGAGATATATTCAAGAGCTAGGCATGATGGCACACACCTTTAATCCAGAGGCAGGGATTAGATCTCTGCCATTTACAGGCTAGCTGATCTAAATAATGAGTTCCTGGACAGCCAGAGCTACGCAGACCCTGTCTCAAAAAAAAACAAAAAAACAAAAAAACACCACGGATGTGTTCAGTTCCACAAGTGAAGACAACTTGAACATAGCCTTTGACCGAATTTAGGAAACAGTATTCTAGAATGCATATGTTTACCTCTGATAAAGCACTCATTATTTTCCTTCTTTTCACCAACTTATTCTCCCAATTTTGGCTCGGTCATATTCAGATGAA